GAGCCTTGGAACTCAGGTGCCACATGAAGATGACCACACAGGGGAGTGCTGAACACCAAGTGTGTTCAGGAAGAGTCCATTTTTGATGTTCCAGCTCCTTGAGCCCCCAGAGAAGTCGGTCCTGTATACTGTGTGATTGCTGCTGCACAACAGGCCCCACAGGACCAGCACAACTACTCAGCCAAACCCAGTGCCCACAGAACCACAGAGGTAACTTTTGTTTGAAGAGACTCCATTTTGGGGGGTTTGTTATGCAGTGAAGGGTAACTGAGATCATCAAATGTTTACATACTTTTGTGTTGAAATGTGACCCCCCCACACACACAAAAACATGCAGCAGTCCTAACCCCCCCACTGCCACGTGTTTCTCCTCAAGTCCTATGTGGGACTTGAACCCTAAGTGATGGCATTGGGAGGTGGGGCATTTGGGAGAGATTAAGTCACCAGGCTCCATGGGCATGATTGGATCAGGGCCTTACAAAGGCAGGGTGGTTCCTTAATGCCTTTCCACTTCTCTTTGGCCACTGGAGACTCATGGATGGTGCTTCTGAGGAACAGGCCTTTGCCATGCACCAACCCTGCTGCTGCCTTGGTCTTAGACCGTCAGCCTCCAGAACTGTGAGCAATCAATTTTTTTTATTTTTGAGTAAAGGGAATTGAAGTCAGTGGTACTTGGCCCCTGAGTCACGTCCCTAGCCCTATTTTGTATTTTATTAGAGACAGGGTCTCACGGAGTTGCTTAGCTTCTTGCTAATTGCTGAGCCTGGCTTTGAACTTGTTATCCTCCTGCCTCTGCCTCCAAAGATGCTGGGATTACAGGCATGCGTCACTGTGCCTGGCCGGCAATCAATTAAAAAGAATTTTTTTTTTTTTTTGGTTGTAGAGGACACAATATATTTTTATGTATTTATTTTTTAAATTTTTATTGTGGTTTCTTTGTTGACTCATAAGGTTTTTTTACATTTATTTTATTTATTTGTTTTTATGTAATACTGAGGATCGAACGCAGTGCCTCATGGGTGCTAGGTGAGCGCTCTACCGCTGAGCCTTAGCTCCAGCCTCTATATTTATTTATTTTTTATGTGGTGCTGAGGATTGAGCCCAGTGCCTCATACGTGAAAGGCAAATGCTTTACCACTGAATTACAGCCTCATCCCTCAATCAATTTTTATTATTTATAAACTACCCAGTCTTCAAGATTTTGTTATAGCAACACAAGTAGACTGACACCCAGTATCTCAGAATATAACATTATTGGAAACATAGCCATTTCAGATGTCATTAATTGAGATGAGGTCATCCTGGAGTAGGACAGGCCCTTATTCAAATATGGCAGGACTGAGGCTATAGCTCAATTGGTAGAGTGCTTGGTTTGCATGCACAAGATCCTGGGTTCAATCCCCAGCACCAAAAGGAAAAAAAGAAAGAAGTCAAATCTCGCTAGTGTCCTTATAGAGGAGAAAAGTTTGGACACAGAGAAAAGAAACCGGAAGGAAATGGTACTCCTGGGTGTGTGGAGGGGTGGGGTGGGGATGGTGGTCACAGAGATTGCATCCACAAGCCAAGGAACACCTGGGGCCACCAGATGCTGGGAGAGGCAGGAAGGACCCTGTGCTGGGATCTTAGGAAGAGCCAGGTCCGCTGATAGCTTGACAGACAGCTAGCCTCAGAGCAGTGAGTTGTTTAGGACGCCCATGAGTTTTATGGCCCCTCAGGAAACTAAGGCAGCTGTGACAGGGAACAGACAGACGTGAGCGGTGGAAATGAGGTTCAGGGAAAACCACAAACTGGGCCCACTGCGCTGCCCCCACGTTTTTACCTGCAGCTCTGCCTGGTTTAAGTCCAGAGGATACGTTGCATTCCTCAGCAAACTGCCCTTATCTGCTTGAGAAGTGTAGGCCTGAAACGCCATAACAGGAACTCAAGTTACCCTGAAGGGGTGAGGGGTTGAGCCTTTCACAGACCAGGTCCCAGAACTCAGGGAGATAAGGATATTCCCCCTAACCATAAGCTCTGTAAGAACAGGTTCCAATTAGAACTGGTCAGCGTGGGCCAAAGTGACCTCAAGTGGTCATTGCAGTGGGGACTTTGAAAGTCTGATATCATTCTGTGGTCTGTCAAGAATCAAGAGGTGGACCCAGGCAGGACCCCCAATTAAGCTGGAGGGAGGAGAGGACCCCTTCTCTCCTTGAGAGTGTTCTTTTCCCTGCTTTCCCATCCCTTCTAAAAACTCATGCCCGTTACTCTGAGTGACATGTCTAACACCTTTCTGACTGACTTGCAAGAACTGGGGCTTAAAGAGGGGGTCTTGGCACTGCCTCAGCTTTGCTGTAGGCCTCCGCCCTGTGACAGCTGCGTGCATATGTGGAAAGTCAGCTTTGAAATGGACCTGAAGGCTTGTATCTGAGTCACGAGGTGGTGCCTTGGCGGAAGGAGGCCCTCTGTGTCAGTTTGGTGTGGGACACAGCTGGTCTCTCTTTACCACTCTCTGAACTTTAGATAATTTTCCAAAACAAGGAATAGAACTTCAAGTGAGAAGATAAGAGGATCGAGCTACATGAGGACAGGGAGAGATGTGGACTCTGGTGACAGAATGACAGCACGGAAGGCAGGGTGTGTGGGTCGATGGCATCATTGGGTTCGGAAACCAGTGAGTCACTAGTGGCCTTTGGTGGCAGCTTCCTGAGAGAGCTAGGCACAGAGGGAGGGCAAGGAGTGCAGGAGAAGGTGGTTGCTGGAAACATCAGGCCCTGGAAGTGAAGCCAGATTTAAAGTTAGGTAGTCAGTGTAGTTAGGTAAATCGGGTCTAATATCGAGTGAAATCTAAAACGGAGGCCATGTTGAGAATGAATTTCCAGAAAAGCTGAGCAACTCTCCGAATGTTAATGAAGCCCAGGATACAGCCCCCAAAAGATTTGGAGATAGCCCATCCCAAAGAAATGTTAATGAACAGCAAACTTGACTCGGAAATGCCCAGATTACTTCTTTGGCCCACCTGTGTCTCACCCCTTGGGCCTTCCAACCTACATTCCATCACTGAAAGAACTATAAAAAGGGGAGACAACCGCACTTCCACGGATTCCACCTCTTGGGTCCCCTTCTTCCTCCGGGAGAAGTCTTTTCTTCTGTCCTTTAATAAATTTCTAATCTCTACTCTGACCTTGCCTCGGCGTGCTTCTTTGGTGTTATTCTTCAACATCGGGGAGCAAGAACTCGTCACCGGTCAACAGCGGTAACAGAAGGAAGGCGACAGAGAGGAAAGATGTAGCTAGAGGGAGCAGCAGCAGCAAACACAAGACACCTCCCCAGCCCTGCTGTTGAAAGAATTTTCTGAAAGAAAAAGATGAACAGGGAATTTCCGACTGGACTCCTTTCAGTGTCTGAGGGGCAGAGGCCCTGCGTAAAGAGAAATCAGTTCTGAACAAGCTCTGCAGACAGCTGTGGCTTGTGGGGCCCAGGCAAGCCATGCTGTGCTTCCTGCTGTATAACGCCCACTACTCCTGGACTCAGTTGTGCGGCTCCTCCAACCGGAGCTGGAGGATTGGCAGTGGAAGAAACAGCCCCTGTCTGCCTATCTGCTTCCCTCTGGGAGACTTAAACTGTTCCAGCGATTTCCTTCCCCAGCTTCAGCCTGGCTCTGCTTGGCTGAAAAAGTTCACCTGCATTTGAATACCGGGGCTACCAGCTGGAGTCCCTGCAGATCCCAATTTGCAGCAAATCAACACAAACTGAAGAAGGCTGGATAGTGGGGTAGGAAATCCTCCACCTGTGGTGGGACATCAGGAACTGCTGGCACCCGGGTGGTTTTGGCTTATTTGAATACACAAAGCTGGTCCACTTCCTGTTCATCCTGAACCACTGGGGAACAGGGATATCAGAAAGCAAAACTCCCCAATGTTTGGCGTTCACCTGTTTCATAAATATTGAATTGACACATCTCGTTGGAAGAGGCAGTGGTAGAAGAATGAGCCGGTGGCTGAGAAGACACAGGACTGGCACTAGGGAGTCCCCTTCCTCCAGTGTTCACCTCCACCAGGATCCCAGGAACCCCAGGGAGCCTTCCTGCACCTGCTGAGGGAGGCATTCTTAGGCAAAGGTCCTTCCTTTACAGAAAAGGGTGTGTGTGGGGACAACTTGTTCAGGGTCCCGTCTTCGTGCCAGTTGCCTGAGCCAAACTTCCCACTGGATCCAAACGGGAGCATCGGGTTCTACCCCGGGCATTTTCTTTAAAAATAATTACTGAATCTTATGTGAGTAATAGCGAGTATTATATTTTAAAAGCATTTCAAGGTTTCTCATTTTAATAGTTTTTTTTTAATTGTAGATGAACACAATTCCTTTATTTACTTATTTTATGTGGTGCTGAAGATCGAAACCAGTGCAATAGAAGCACGCTACCCCTGAGCCTCAACCCCAGCCCAGGCGTCTCCACTTAACTCCAGGGCACTTCCCTGTCTCGGCGGTTCCCCCTCCGCCTTCCTGCCAGGTGTGTGGAGGGGGAGGTCTGTGGTGAATTGGAGCTTGTCCATTTAGCAGCCCAGGCTCAGCTCCTGAGAAGGCAGGAAGGCAAACCCGGACGCTCCCGCCCCACCCGACAGCACAGGCTGCCTCCAGTACAACAGGCCCCGCCTTCCCTACCTGCCCCCAGTCCCATCCTAAAGGAGCCCGCCACACCAATTCATCCCGTGACCTGGCTCCGCTGAACCCTATACAACTCGGACCCCGGTAGCCCGCCACCATTTTGTCCCCCGAAAATGGCCCCTCGGTAGCTTAATAAAAGCGTGGTTGGTCCGTCCAGGTCTCTCCCCGCTTGGGCTATTTTTGCTTTCAACTGCAACTGCCAAAGTCACATTTTCTTTCCAGGCTTTAAATAGCAACGACTCTCTACTTTTTAGATATAAAATAGCAAAAAGGATTCTTGCAAAAGTAAAAACAAAACGACACTAGAAGCACCCCTACTCCCACCCGTCGGCGCCCCCGCAGGCTCTTATCGACGGGCGGCGCTGGGATGGCCTTTCCGAGCCGGCCAACTTTCCCTAACGACCTTGATTGGAGGCCACTTTCGCGCACACGCAGCAAATCCACGCAAGCCGGGAGAAGGCCGGAGCGCGCGGGGAGGCCGGCTACTTAAGGCCGGCGGCGGGGTGCGTCCCCCCGGCCCCTCCGCACCTAGACGCGGTGTGCGGGAGCGGGAGCGCGGAAGGCGCTGCCGGAACTCCCGTCTTCCGCCCGGGAGCAGCCCGGCTGGAGCTCGCGTCCTCCAACTCCTGTGAGCTCCGCGGGCGCGGCCTCCCCGGGGCAAGAGCAGCTGGGATCTCTGCGGAAGAGCCTCCGCCGGGGCGGGGTGAGGGCGGCCGGGACCCGAGGGGCGGGCCGGCGCCCCACGTGCACGCAGGGCCGCTCCACAGCTCCTGCCCGCGCCAGACGCGCGCTTTCCTTCTTGCGCTCTTGCGTGGTCACTGGGGGAAGGTCCGCGCGAGTTCGGGGTCCAGCGGTCCGAAGCTGGGCTGGCTCCCCAGCTGCGTCCTGCGCTCACCGGCGGACTGGACCAGGGGAGGGACGCAGGGCTCAGAAGGTGGCTTCTTGCGGGAAGATGAGGAAGCCCGACGGGAAAATCGTGCTTCTGGGGGACATGAACGTGGGCAAGACCTCGCTGCTGCAGAGGTACATGGAGCGGCGCTTCCCCGACACGGTCAGCACGGTGGGCGGCGCCTTCTACCTGAAGCAGTGGCGCTCCTTCAACATCTCCATCTGGGACACTGCAGGTGAGAGCCGGCGCCTCTCTGCCAGGTGGGCTCCGTGGGGGTTGGGGACGCGGGACTTCCAGCCTTTTGGAAGCGTCCCAGCCATGTGCAAGGCCCGACCTCAGGTGGCAGATGCCCTCTTCTCTGTTCTCACTCGTCCTCCTACGATGTTGGGGAAAATACCTGTTCCCACTCTCAGGGAAAGCTCAAGGCTCCAGGAGAACCTGGTGGTCACTTAGGCCCAGCGGCGCTTAGCTTCCAGAGCTGCCTTCCTGGCCCCGCTGCTCACTGTAACCAGACACACTTGTTTGTATTTTCAGTTTTTAAGTACCCTCCGGAATACAAATTCACCTGATGCTCACAGTACCCTTGAGGGGCAAGCGGCGCTGACATTATTACCGCCCCTCCCTTTAACAGAAGAGGAAACTGAGGCGCAGAGCGCTGGCCCTGCTGGGTTTGGTTAGGAGATAAGAAACAGAACTGGTCTCCTCTTCTGTGGTTCAGTTTATCCTCTGAGTTTGGAATGATTTTCTGTTGGAACATTTTAAAGATAGGTAGGGAATTATTTTTAGTTTGTGTAGTAAGTGTGATTTGTTCAGAAATACAACTCAGATAGTTTGATTCAAGTTTTCAGTTCCACTTTATGAAATAACACTGGCAATTGTAGTGTTGTAATGGAATTTATTTCCTTCCCCTTGAAAAAGAACAAGATATGGTAAGTGAGAAAGTGAAGAAACTTGGAAATGGATGACACATTTCCAGCAAGTGTGAGGTTTTGGACTCTGAAACTTTAAAGTTCTGACTTCTTTTATGTCAGCACTTTAAAAAGTGATATACCCAAAGGTCTTGTCCAGAATTTCTAAATTGCTATCTTGGGTGCATGAATCTGCTGAATACACAAGATCATAGCAAATTCTCTGTTTAAAACTGAATTAATGAAGTTCTCTGGTGAACTTCCACCGCTTCCTCCTCCCTCTTGCTGACTTTGATGGTGTCTTGTTTTTATGGTGGTGAATGTATGGACTAATTTATTTGTAGTCATCTTGGGGAAACTGTTACCTAGGGGAACACATGCCGTCCCCTGACTTTTCTCCAGCTCTGACCCCACCCAGGCTGAGGGCAAGGTTTCTCTAAGATCTTTTTCTCCAGCTGACTGCCTCGAGTTGAGCATTTGGTGACGTTGAGTGTTTGGTGACGAGTGCTAGCACCAATACACACTCTGGAGGTCAAGTTGAATCAGAATTCCACTACATGTCTGCCAGTCTCCTACAGCACTTCACCCCTTTGTGTCTTTTATTGATTGGGGCACTTCCCTGCCATCCTAGGTGTGGCACTAGGGGCCCCCACTGAGAGCAGGCTCTGAGTTGTGGTGACAGATGGGGCTTGGGTGTTGGAGGGCATGAAGTAGCAGTTTCACTTTGGCCACTTTCTTCATCAGTGCCAAGGACATGGTGCATCCGGGATATTAGTCACCAGAGGATTTGCAATACTGCTGATGTGGTGTCCTAGGTATCTTGCTGGGTCCTGGGGGTGGCGACTCACTTCCTGGCTGCCTTGGTGGCTGCCTCCTGTTCCTGGAACGCTAAGTGGGAGCTCAGATGGGCTCCACAGAACACAGGGTGGAGGGGCTCCTCTCCACATTCCTGAACTCACACCCAGGGCCACCAAAGTCCAGAGTCAGAGTCAGTGCCCAGGTCACCTCTGTCCCTGCCTCCTCAGTGACTCACTGAGATTATGGAGCACTTGGAGGGAAAAGAGACACAGGAATAGATGTCTTTTCAGAATTTCAGAAAACCCAGAAGTCTAGCCTTGAATGGGCTTGCTGTTTTTTTTTTTTTTTTTTTTTTTTTCCTGTCTTTTTTTTTCTAGTTCCTAAGTTTTCTTTCCACCCCACACATTGTTGTTTCAGTGTGATTTTCATGTCGGAGGCAGAAGAGGACAAACTGGGTGATGAACCAGCAGTTTAAGCTGCTTTTAATGGGTGTGGGTGCAGGTGTGTGGCGGCCTGTGACAGGAAGAACATGCACAGGGTCGGCTGTTTTACCCTTGGCACATGTTTTCAAACATACAAGATATAGGACCTGGCTGCGTGGCCTGCAGGGTGGGGTAGAGGGTGGAGCAGGACATGAGAGAGGGGATTTGCTGGCCTGCTAAGTATTGTATCTTATTCAGTTGACACAGAATTTTTCAGAGGCAGGACCGACTGTGTGTGTGTGTGTGTGTGTGTGTGTGTGTGTGTGTGTGTGTGCGCGCGCACGCGCTCGCATGTGCTCGTGCGTGCGCATAAAAGATGGGGAGTGGGAGCAGGAGGAAGGTGAGTGGCTGGGACCTTGTCTGTGTCCAGCCCTTCTCCTTCCATTTATGCCCTGGTCATTCCCAGCCCTTGTCTGAGTGGGTACACAGATTGGAGTCCTCTCTCTTGTGGTTTGATTAGTCTGGAACACAAAAAAAGGTTGCCCCAAGAGGGGACAGCCCGAGGGGAATATCCCCCAGCCTCTTCTTTGCCACTGGGTTGGTCAGAACGTCCACTGATGTTGCCCATCATCAGCAGATACAGGCTGGGCTTCTGCGGCCGCTGTTAGGCCCATTCTCTTGCAGCCCTGACTTGCACAGGCCGATTGGTCCCTGCACTGTGGGAAAGGCAGGCATTGAGAGAGCACAGCAGGGCAGAGCAAGGGGAGCAGTGTGCCTTACAGCCCCAGGAAGGCTCACCCTGCGGGTGCTGCCCTGAGAGGGGGCGGCACCAGACTCAGCGTCCTGTGGAGGAGGAGCATAGGGAAGCAGCTAAGAGCCCAAACTGGGTCCAGGTCCATATGCGAAATCCCCACCCCCACGGCTGTTGTTGGGAGTGGAGGATGGGGATTTCGCATATGGATCTTGCACATGGATTTCGCATATGGATCCGGGGATTAGGGACTGTCATAGGCAGGATAAGGAGTCCAGGTCCTGATCTCTTCAAGAGCCCTCTGGGAGGGATGCTCTGGCCTTTTGGGCCTCCCAAAGCACTGGCCAGAGGCTGTCCAGTGCGCCCATACCTCCTCTGTGAGGGAGGCTCTCCCTTTTGAACACTCCCTGCAGTATGGATGGCAGTGACCTAAGTCACCAAGTGCCCTTTCTGTTTGGGCAAAAGTTCTTCCCTCCACCTCTTTCTTCCACATTTTAACATAAACAGAGGGGCTGAGCCACTCCCTAGGGCTCTGCCTAAACCCCAGCTAAACACCTTCACCTGCAGGTTTGCTTGCCACAGAGCCTCAGGGTGCGGTCAGCAGGGCCTTCTCACCCTGTCCCCTTTCTCCCAGTTTCCAGTAACATGTCGCTCATCTGCAGCCTTAACCTGCAGGGCCAGTCCACACTTCCACCTGTGCCTATGCATGCCAATTTAGGGACTCAGTATGGGTTTTCCTGCCACACTCCTTGTGACTCTGATTCTTCACCCACAGAGCTGTTATATCCATTTTTCTTTCTCTTCCTTCCTCTCTTTCTGTTTCTCTTTCTTCCCAGGAGAGCTCATGGGACTGTGGAGTTCAAAAGGCCAATGTCTTTACAACCCACCCCTGCAGGAAGCTTGTTGACCCTGGGTTAGGTCATGTGAAGGAGAAAACTCTTCCCTAAAATGTTAGGAACAGAAACTTCCTGGAGTTTGTCTTTGGCGATGCTGGGACGCCTGTTTCGCTTGAACTCCACACAGCACGTGTGCACGGTGTGCTTACTGAGCTGGTCTGCAGGGAGGGTCAGGGCCTGGGTTTAAGATTAACAGCTCCTACTGAGAGGATCTGGAGAACATTCCAGATTAGGTTTGGGGTCTAGACGTTCATCCTGCAGACCCTGTGCTGGGAGGTGGACCCACATCCTCCTCTGCTGGGACTGGGGCACCTTTAGGGTGCAGGGCTTCCTGGGCACAGTCCTCTGCCTTGTTGACTAAGCGTGGTGGCCTGACGTGTGTGGGTGGAAAGCCAGGTGAAGAAACTCGAGTGTCTTGGTTCAGCAGGGGTGATGGCAGGAGTGTTGGCAGCCACACCTCACTCAGAGGTTTTGGAGCCTGGTGGAGGCCTATGAGCAGCTCCTGGGTGAGAGGCTCGGCCCACAGCCCCCTGTGTGTGGGGTGCCCTGGAACCCCAGGTGGGGAAGGTATTTCCTGGTCACAAGTCAGTGGGTCCAGGAGGAACTGGGCTGATTAAGGTCAGCTGTGCTTGTAAACTGTCACCTGAACCACAGCAAAAGCCTCTAGGAGTGCTTCATCTTGAAGCCCGCTGGGGAACAGAAAATGATGATCACAAGTTCAGCTTGCCTCTGCCTCATTCAGGGACGTCGTGGGACTCCACCTCTGACACAAGCACATGTTAAATGACTGTTCATTCTCAGAACAGTGGCTTCCTCTCCATGACGGCAGAGTGTCAGGGTCAGGCAGGTCTGCCCTGGCTCTGCTCCGGTCCTCCTCGTGCAGGGGGTGCCGGGAGGCTTTCTGGGGGGCTGCAGACCCTGCCACTCCTCGCTTGGAGCCCCTCCAGCCCCTCCTGCCGCAGCTTCCCCAGGTCTTCTCGGCAGGCTATCGCCCAGCTCTGCCGGGCAGGTGTGCCCTCCTTCCAGTGTCCTCTCCCCAGAGCCCATGGGAAGTTTCCCCATCTTTCAGTGTCACTCCTTCCTGCAGGGCTCCTCACCTGCAGCCTTCATGAGCAAGGAGGGGGCAATGGCGAATGGTGGATGTTTCTGGAATAAAGCCGATTGACAAACTGCAAGTTCGTCTAACAAAGGTCACTCAAATCAGAAGCTGTGCATGTGAAGCCAGTCTCTGATGCACTGCTTTTTGAAAGAGGGCGAGGGGTTGCGATGGCTCTTCTGCTGGTGGTTCTGAAATTTTTTCCCACTCCCCATTGTCGAATGGCCACTTTGTCTCCATAAATTCCCAAGAGACCCCTGTTTAGAGGGGAGCCCCTGGCAGGCGGAGTAAGCTGCAAGTTGATTGCCAAGGGGTATCTCTGCAGCTCCCACGCTCGGGCTGCACACTAGTGGGAGTCCTTCCGTTGGCCAGACAGAGCACTGACTGGTGGGAAGAGAAGTTGTTTTATTTAACCAGTAACAAAAGACCTTTCTTTCTCAGACACTCCTATCTTTATTGGCAAAATAGCTCCTGGTGGGAGTTGGGTTCCGGGACTATCAGGTAGGAGCAGGAGCAGCCCCCGGGAACCTGGCCACGCCTAGACAGCTTCAGCAACTCCCACCCCACGCCGCTTTGCCTCTGCCCACCACTTAAACAGCAGCTGCATTTTTCTTTGTTATAATGAGACTCCTGGTATTTCTTGTAAAAGAAAGTTTCTGTACCACATTCTTTGGAATTTAAGCTGTGAAAATTCAGATGTGGACAGTTCTCATGTTAAAGACTGTTTTGAAGGACCATGTAGCTTCTTTAGACCTGAGCTTTTACAGCTTAGAAGTCCTGCAGCAGCCCGGGACATCCTCAGACTCCTTTCTTGGTCACTATTATGGCCTTCTCCTCTAAGAATTAGTGAATGTGTATGTTCACATACATGAACACCTGAATCGAATCCATCACTACTGGGAAACATGGAGCAGTTGTTATAAACATTGGCTTTTTCCTTTATTTCTGAAAGTTAGGGTACACTTATTATACATTTTTGCCAAATACTCAATGGTGATTAGAATTTTATTTAAAATCCTTAAGACATGAAAAATTTCCAAGTAGAGCATTTACTTAAAAACTCATGGCCGAAGTGGAATTAAGTAAGTAAACATGAAATACAGCCCTTGAGGGATGCTTTGAGTACTGCAAGTCCAGTCAGGGAATGCTCACGGCTGGCATTATGGTGTTACCGGTTACTCTGCCTTACATGTAATTTAAAATTAAAAGACTGTTGGATCACACAGAATGTGTCATTCTGAGGTGGCCTGATTAATGTACTGTCTTTATCTTTGAATTTTGTGGATCAATTTCTCTATTTTGGAAGGTTCTTAATTTTATTTGAAGGCATAAATAGTTGTTCTTGTAGTGAACTTACACTTCATAGAAAGCTCTTTGTTGTTGGCTTCAGATCAGATTTGAAATGTTTACCTGTATTTGAAATCAATGTTTCCATATGAAGAAGGAGTCGAGCTGTGTCTGCAGTACTGCTTTCGTGGGTGGCTCCACTCTCAAGGCAGCCTGTGGGCTCCTGTGACCCCTCGGGATCCACCTCCTGCCCTGCAGCCTGGAGATCCAGGCTCCACCGCAGACTTTGGCCACATCGTTACTTGCCCTGGGCTGGAGGCTGCTCCAACCCTTTGTGTACTGTCTCTCATTCAGTCCTCGCAAGTTCCCCAAGTGTCAGCAGAAGGTTGTTTTCTTGGAGTTCTGGGAAGCCAGGGTGGCTGAGCTGGGGTGTGAGCTGGGCAGAGGCCCCAGGGTTTGTGTTCTTAATCACCAGGCTCGCTGTGCCCTTCCCAGAAGTGACAGCATTCTAGAGTGAAACAGTGGGGAAGAGTTGCCCAACCTTGGTGTTCCTGTTCACAGTATCACAACTACAAATTACAGCACCGTCTTTTTAGTGCCTGGTGAACTGAAAAACTACTGCTGTACCCAGAAGTGGTGCATTAGAGGCAGCTGGGACCTCAGGGCTGCCTGTCTCATAACTACAAGGCTGGTGCATGGAAATGCCAGTTTGGTTCTTAACCTCATAGAGTGACATGCACTTCTCATGTCTGTGCTATGCTTTGTCATAGATGTGAAAGGGCCCATTACGTCATGGGAAAAAGGATGACATTTATTTTATGGAGTACCTTCTCAAGAGCTAAGGAATACTGCTGAGATTGCAGCACTTGAGTGAGCACAGAAATCAGAAAAGATACCTTGGGAACGGTAGGAAAGACACTTTCCAGTTATCCATAAGGGGCTGGGGCTGTAGCGCAGTGGTAGAGTTCCTGGCCACCACGTGTGAGGCACTGGGTTCAGTCCTCAGCACCACATAAAAAAAAAAATAAATAAAGTAAAGGTATTGTGTCTATCTATAACTTCAACAAACAAACAAACAAATCACCCATATTACCTGTCCCATGCTTCAGGCTCCAGGTCCATCTGAATGCCAGGCTGACCCTGCAGACTCTTGTGGCAGGCCACCCAGAATGGCTGGTGAGGGGCTTTCCTCATCAACACCAGTTCATAAAGACAAGTAGGTGCCCCCCTTTCCAAATGCACAAGGAGAAAAGAAAAACAAAAACAAACTTGAGACAAGTGAAAGCGGAAACCCAGCGAACTGACATTGATAGGTTTCTAAGTTCTAAGGAGAAAGTTTATAGGTATTAAATAACATATTAAAAATGAGAGCTTGCAGCATTAAAAGAATAAAACCATGGCATTTGCAGGTAAATGGATGGCCTTGGAGAAGATAGTGCTAGGTGAAGTTAGCCAATCCCAAAAAACCAAATGCCAAATGCTTTCTCTGATAGAAGGAGGCTGACTCGTAGTGGGTTAGGGAGGGGGAACATGGGAGAAACAGATGAATTCTAGACAGGGCAGAGGGGTGGGAGGGGAAGGGAGGGGGCAGGGGATTAGCAAGGGTGGTGGAATGTGTAGACATCATTATCCAGAGTACATGTATGAAGACACAAATTGGGTGTCAACCTACTTTATATGCAACCAGAGATATGAAGAATTGTGGTATATATGTGTAATAAGAATTGTGATGTTAAAAAAAAAAAACAAGTACATGTATAAAGTCATGAATTGACGTGAACATACTTTATACAAAGATATGAAAAATTGTGCTCTATATGTGTAATAAGAACTGTGATGCATTCTGCTGCCATGTATTTAAAAAAATAAAATTAAAATAAAAAAAGAAGAAGAAGAAAACAAAAACGAGAGCTTGACGTAGGCCCAGCTGCTTGCTGTCAAAAAGATCAAGTTCACGAAACCCAGGAAGGTGGTGTTGGTCCTGGCCGGACGCTTCTCTGGACGCAAAGCTATCATTGTGAAGAACATTGATGATGGCACATCAGACTGTCCCTATAGCCATGCTCTGGTGGCTGGAATCGACCGCTATCCCCACAAAGTGACGGCTGCCCTGGGCAAGAAGAAAATTGCCAAAAGGTCCAAGGTGAAGTCTTTTGTGAAGGTTTATAACTACAGTCACCTCCTGCCCACAGGTGCTCTGTGGGTATCCCCTGGACAAAACTGTCATCAACAGGATGTCTTTAGAGAGCCTGCTCATAGACGTAAGGCCAGTAGGAAGACCAAGGTGAAGTTTGACGAGAGGTACAAGATGGGCAAGAACAAATGGTTCTTCCAGAGCTTCAGTTTTAGATTTTTTTTTTGTTGTTGTTCTCTATCATTAAAAACGAAATTTTAAAAGAAAAAAAAAAAGGGAGAACTTGCAAGTAAACAATCTACCTTTTACACTTTAAGGAACTAGAAAAAGCAGAACAAGTTAAGCATGAAGTTAGCAGACAAAATTGGCAGACCTTTAGTTGGACCAAGAAAAAAAAGAAGACTCAAGTAAGTGTTAAGAGGAGACTTTATAGCTGATACACACAAAAGTACTAAGAATCGTAAACTCCTATAATTGAACACTAACAGATTGGCTAACCTAAAGAAATGTATAGATTCCTAGAAACACAGCGTCCCAAGACTAAATCATGAAGACAGAAAATCTGAACTGACTGACTGATGAAAGAGATTGAATCAATAATTAAAAACTTCCCAATACAGAAGAGCCCAGGCCCCAATGGCTTTGCTGGTAAATTCTAACAAATGTATAAAGAAGAATTAACATTAATCTTTCAAATGTTTCCAAACATTGAAGAGGAGGGAAACTGCCAAACTCATTTTAGGAGACCCACATTATCCTGATGCCCAAACCAGACAAATAAACCCCAACATTATTGATATTGATATTCCTGATGAACATTGATGCAAAAATTCTCAATAAAATACAGCAAAATGCCCAGCATAATAAGAACATCACTTGCCACAATCAAGTGGGCCGGACCTCTGGGATGCAGGGATGGCTCAGCATATGTACATCAGTAAGGAGATGCATCACTTCAACAGGGTGAGGGGACTGAGACCAGATGTCATCTCAGTAGGTGCAGGAAAAGCGTTTGAGAAAATTCAACATTGTTTCATGATAAGAACATTTAACATCACTGTGGCACGTGCCTGAAGTCTCAGCCACCCGGAAGGCTGAGGTTGGAGAATGGCTTCAGCCCCAAAGTTCAAGGGCAACCGGGACAAAGTAGTGAGACACCCTCTCAAATAGAACAAAAACAAACAAAAACCTCTCCACCAACTAGATATAGGAGGAACAAGTACACCACAGGGAACAACAGGCCAACACACAGCACCCAACATCTGTGGGGTGAAGAACTGACAGGTCCTCCTCAGATCAGCAACAAGATGGGTGCCCACTTGCACCGCTTCTATTCAGCATGATCCTAGAAGTCCTAGCCAGAGCAATTGGAAAAGAAAAAACAAAGGTATCCAGATTCGAAAGGAAGAAGTAAATTGCCTTCTTTTACAGATGACATGAGTTTATATACATAGAACAACTCTAAATGCTCCACCAAAGCACCGTTTAGACCTAATAACAAGTATAGCAAAGTTCCAGTATACAGAATCGTCAAACAAGAGTCATTTGCACTTCACTACATGAATACAAGCTATCTGAAAAAGGAATGGAGGGCAAAATCCCATGTATAAGTAGTACCAGAATCAAATTCCGAGGGATAAATTTAACCCAGGAGGTGGAAGATCTGTAAACCAAAAACATGAAACATTGGTGGAAGAAATTGAAAAAGACATAAATAAGTGGAAAGATGTCCTGTGTTCGTGGGTTAGAAGACTAAATGTTGCTAAAATCCCTGTACTTCTGAAGTGACCTACAGATTCAGTGACCAACACAAACTCCTGAAATTCAAGTTGAAACTAAAAAACACAGAATTGTAAGGAAAAATAAAAAGGGAGACACAGAAACAAGATGCAGAGGCAGGAGAGAAAGATTGCAGAATGGCAGCGAGGCCAAGCTTTATTATACCCATAGGTTACTCTAGGTCCTTGGCATCATTAGTACACATTGTTCATTGTGTTACTAGCAGGTTACAGGCTTAGCAACATTATGCAGCTCATTCCTGTTACATACTAAGTTGCAATATGCAATGTTAGGAGCCTTATGTAGCTCTCAAGAAAGTCGATTGTATAAAGTTACTGTTATGTGGGCAGATTTAGGTTCAGTGTAACACTGGTTTTCTAACAAGATAGTCCCTATGTTCCCAGGAGCTGTGTGCCTGAGATGAAGGTCAAAGCTGATAAGACTGTGACACAGAGCTTCCTCGTGAAGGACACCCTAGAGCAGCCAGGCATCTCGTGTCTTTGCACAGAAGTTTCCTAGCAGCCAGGCATTCTGTGCCATTGCACAGAAACTTCCTACCTGGAAGAGCCACAAGCATGCCACAGTCATGAAATATATCAGAGATCTCAAGACAAGACAAAGAACCCCTACAGCTCCCCTTTCTTGTTTTTGAAGGTCTTTTGAATGAATAATATTTGTTTTTCTTTTTAATGCTGGTGGGGGCAAAAAAATAGGGTAGGCACTGACAACAGCAAACACAACGTAACAATCCCAGTTGCCGCAGTCTGTCTGGGCACAATTCAGGAGCCACTTGTCAAAAGAAATGAACTTTATTTTTAGAACACACACACCAAACCACACAGCTCCTCAGGAAAACCTTCAGAGCCCAACTGCCACCACCTGCTTCCCACAAGCCTCTCCACCTCCCCCACTCCTCCTGCTCTTGAGGCCGATTGGCTGGGTCGCATGGGTGGAGCCAAAAAAAGTCCCCCAATGAGCAGCTCCGTGGTCTGAAAGGGCGGGGAAACAGCCCAATGAGCATCACCGCAGAGGAGCCAATCAGTTGGCAGCTAGAAGTTTGTTTGGGCCGCTGTGAGCCAATCATCAGCTGGCAGCTGGAAGTTTGCTGGCAGCTGGAAGTTTGCTGGGGCCCCTTTGGCTGTGGCTCTCAATACCAGTATTAGTAAATATCCACCTATGAATAATTGTTTGATCCAGATGAAATTAGGTAACCTCTAAGTTAGCCAATCCAACAAGTCTAACCCCCCCATCATCTTGTTGGATCCTTTTAATGATATCTTTAAGGTAGTGTAACTCCTTTGAGATAGAATTACTATTGTCACTTAAATTGAAGCAACACATATTATTGCGGGTGGACGCAATATCTTTATTTTATTTTATTTTTATGTGGTGCTGAGGATTGAACCCAGTGCATCACACATGCTAGGCGAGCGCTCTACCTCTGAGCCACAATCCCAGCCCCACTTTATGAGTTTTAGTTCCTACATTTTGACGTGTTTTTATCATATCTGACAAAGTAGTGTATATTTTATGATAGATTTTGTTACATCTTGGCAATCTTGATTAGCATTTTTGTATGCCAGCTGTTTGGTTAAAATATCAGTAACCTCCAAGTTATCAACTTGCGTCTCTATTGCCTTAGTTAAGTGATTAACAAAATTTATGAAACTTCCCCCTGAAGCTTGTCTAATTGCGTAGATGGTTTAGAGGAATCTCGAGTGTCAGGAATCCGAGGCCAAGTTTTAGACATAATTGTTCTTGGAAGAAGTTGACTTGTTGTTGTGAAGTATCCCATTGCCCTACTCCAAATGGATCATCACAGTCAACATTGACATTTCTTTGCACGTTTTCTTCAGCCTGGGCACAAGCCAAGTCAGAATATTTTTGAAAGAAAACAGTGTTTGGGGCAGGAGAAGTAACCATTCTAACTAATGTTTTTCAATCATTAGGGACCAGGACATATCCCATTCCCAACTCTTCAATCATATTTAGAGTAAAATTACTTTTTATACTACTTTCCGAATGCTGCAACTCTCTAAAAACAGTAAAAGGTAACTGCTCAAACTTTGGTTAGGTAACAGAGTTTACGCTAACGGATGAGACTCCTCTTCCTCCGCAGCTTGTCCTAAACACTCAATTAAGTTGGATTTGGCTGGGGGCAGGATGGCTGCCACAGCCGGCCACAGAGGCGATGGCAGTGAATTAGTAGAAGAGTGCACGCGGAGGCTCCGGAACAGGATGGACAGTGTTGCTGCGGCAGCTGTGCTGCCGCGGTAGAGCCACTGAGAATGAGTCAAGGGGACCGTACATCTGGGCACAGGAGGAAGAGAGCCACAGGTTGAGAAAGAGGCCTTACCAACAGCATCATGACAGAGAAGCCAAGCTAGTAGCGCAGGACCGGGTGCTCGTGGCTCCTCGTGAAGCCTTTCACCTATCTTCTCCCAGGCTTTCAATTTAGTAGTCCACTTTTGGGATGAAAAGGACAGTTAGAGCTTATCTGTCAGCAAGGCAGCAAGATGAGCATTATTTACAGAATGTCCAGCCGTGCTAAGTAGGAGAGAAAGCCCGTCCCGATGACGTCATTGAGCGTCAGAGATTACCCATAGCCTACTGATTAGGGATTGATACTGACAGACCAATGAAAGATGCGTGTTCAAAGCCTGTTCCAGGCGCGTATGCTACTCCCTTCCCACGTTACCTGTCAACGTCTGGAAGAGTCTCCATTAGGGTGGATTTTGTTGTCCCAAACTTTCTGTGGACTGGGAGGCCGTGTAGGGAGAGAACTCTTCTTGTGCCCCACATTGAGTGCCAGTTGTAAGGAAAAAATAAAAAGGGAGACACAGAAACAAGATGCAGAGGCAGGAGAGAAAGATGGCAGAATGGCAGCGAGGCCAAGCTTTATTATACCCATAGGTTACTCTAGGTCCTTGGCATCATTAGTACACATTGTTCATTGTGTTACTAGACAGGTTACAGACTTAGCAACATTATGCAGCTCATTCCTGTTACATACTAAGTTGCAATATGCAATGTTAGGAGCCTTGTGTAGCTCTTAAGAAAGTCGATTGTATAAAGTTACTGTTATGTGGGCAGATTTAGGTTCAGTGTTACACTGTGGTTTTCTAACAAGAAAGTCCCTATGTTCCCAGGAGCTGTGTGCCTGAGATGAAGGTCAAAGCTGATAAGACTGTAACACAGAGCTTCCTTGTGAAGGACACCTTAGAGCAGCCAGGCATCTCGCCTCTTTGCACAGAAGTTTCCCATCCACCAGGCATTCTGCGTCTTTGCACAGAAACTTCCTAGCCACCAAGTATGCCACGGTCACGAAGTTTATCAGAGATCCCTATCCCAAACACAAATCCCCTACACAGAATGGTCAAAGCAATCTAGACCAAGAAGAGTAAAGCAAGAGGCTTCATACTGCTCGATTTTAGAGTAACATGGAGCTCTAAGAACCAGAACATCATGGTACCTGCGTGAAGTCAGGCACACTGATGGAAACCAGAAACAAATCCATGCATTCATGGCCAGTGGGGATTTGACCAAGGTGTCGAGAGCACACAGTAGGGAAAGGACAGCTCTTCATCCAGTGGTGTTGGGAAAGCTGGAAGCCCACGTGCAGAGGCAAGATGGCCCTTTGTAGACCATAGACACATCAACTCAAAGTGAGTCAGAAACATAAGCCCTGAGCTTAAACTACTAAAACTTAAGGGCAAAGCTTCTTGATTTTGATTTGGGTAATAATTTTTTTTTTTTTTTTGGATGTGATTCTAAAAGAAAAAGTAGACCAATGAGATTACATCAAACCAAAAGCCTGTGTGACAAAGGAAACACTCCACAGAGCAAGGAGGCAGCTCAGGGAATGGGAGAGAGACCTGCAATCCACGTGTCTGTCAAGGGGCTGATACCCAGACCCACAGGAACATGTCGAGTAGCCTGTCCTTTCCCTAGCATTTGTCCTTGGCACTCTGCTAGGTTCCACTGGCTGCCAGTGCAGGGAGCCTAGGGACACCGTGGTCCAGCTGCTGGGAGGCAGTCACTGCGGGCCTTCCGTGGCTCCAAGGGAAGTGGTTCTACAGATGCAGTGGATGGCAACTTCCAGGGCACAGGGCAGGGAACTGGAGACTCAGACCAGGGTGTGCCAGGTTTCAGTTACGCAGGGTAAAACATTCTGGAGATCAGTGTACAACATGGTGACTGTAGCCAACAATCTGGTATTGTGTATTTGAAATTCACTAAGCAGAGAGATCTTAAATGTTCACACACACACCATAACGAAGATTTTTTAAAATTAGCTTGGTAGTAGTAATCATTTCACAGTGTGGGCATGTAGAGCAAAATATGTTGTATATCTCAAATATATGCAATTTTTATCTTTCAAATTTACCTTAAGAAAATGGGGGAGATTAGTATTCTGACAAAAATCCCTAACACTCTACTGTTTGGCCACTCCCTACCCAACCCATAATCACCTGTCATAGCCCCCCCAGGAGCTCGCCCCGTTCTTGAGCAGATGGGCCAGCCCCTTGGATCTCTGCTTCAAGGTCTGTGAATGTGCACACCAATAGTGGGGAGGGTGAAATGCAACACAACAGGTGTGTGTACACCTGCCTGGCACTTGAGTGGACTGTCGGTGAGCTCTGGGCCCTTCTGAGGGGACACTGGCTGGCAGGTGAGATACTGAGGCAGACCTGGGCTCTGCCCAGGGAACGACACCAGCACTGAGATTCTAACGGTGTGGCACTTTCTAACCTGGCTGTGTGTCCTTGAGGAAGCTTGAATGCCACCCAGGTTTGTGGGCCTGGAACTCCAGGCGGAGATCTTGGGTTCTCAAAAGTGAGGATGGTGACCCTCACATATCCCTGTGTTTGGCTAAGTAGCCCTGTCAGGACTTGCATTAGTGTTGTGTCTGAGCTGATCGGTTTCTGGATCATTTGAGGATTCATTTATTAAAGCTTGTTGACCTGCTGTTTACTTAACCAGGCACGTTTCTGTAGCAATTGCAAAAGCACATTCCAAACCTAGCCAATTTAAAACCCCATTGACTCTGCTTACTGACCACCAAGCGTCAGGGCCCCACAGTTGAGGGTGCAGCCTCTAACCCCTGGCAAATGCCACCCCCTGGCTTTCTGTGGCTAGGATACCTGGGGCTGCTCTGTACATGTTACCTGTGGAGAGGGCCAGAGGCAGGCAGCAGATTGGGGACCTGCCAGAGGGTCACCTGTTAGTTTCATCAGTTAGACCTGTTAATACTGCCCTTCCTCGTGAGTCGCTGAGCAGTGCCCCAGACTGCTTGCATCTTTGAAGTTACTACTCTAAGTGAGGTCTGTGGGTGGCAGCAGCAGGAACCCAATCAGAACAGGCATTTTAACCAGATCTCTGGGCAGGGTACACTACAGGTGGACAGAGGGCTGTGCCAGGCTCACCACAGCCCTGTGCAAATAAGCCAGTTGTTTAGAGCAGACGGGTACAGGGGTCACGCCATTCAAGTTTCTTGGTGTTCTTCATGGGTGCTAGTTGCATATGTTAAGGAGTTTTTGAATTGTGATTTCATTCATTTTATATATATACACACACACATACACACACACATACATACATATAAAAATAACAAAGTTTACTATTGTAGCCATTTTTTTAGATGTAAAATATTTTATTTGTAAATGGTGATCTTCTAAATCTGTGTCTACAAATTCCCAAACCCATAACACTCTGTATACTTAAAAAAATTCAATTTTTGCCAACATCAGATACTATTATACATAACAGAAAACAACAAAAACCCGTTAGGACAAATACTGGTAGGATGTCAGAATTTTGTTCAATAGAGGAAAAATATTCAAGAAACATATTTTATCCAGCTATTTATCAAGAGAAAAATATATACAATGGATTTATTCTGTAAGATAAAAATACATCATGCCATTACATGACAGGTGAGGCCCGCGGCACTGGCGCGCACAGCTCAGCCCACGAGACTGTGCGCAGACGTCATCCACTATTGTAGCCATTCTTAAGTGTACAGTTCAGTGGCCTTAATGTATTCAGTGATGAATGTGTAAAGAACCTTTTCATCTTCCAAACTGAAATCCATCCCCATTAAACATTAATCCCTCCCCCCTGCCCTTTGCACCTGCTGTTCTACTCTCTATCCCAATGAATTGGACAATTTTAGGAAATTGTTTTAGAATTTTACTTTTACAATCCAGCATATACAGTGTTATTATATTAAATATGATAAACCAAGTTCTTATAGAAGACTCAATCATGAGGGATTGAGGAGTGTCCAGGTGGTCCCAGGATCCTCGGCAGGCATTTCGGATCTTACGATGTTTGTCAGTGGATATGTACTTGTAAGGATAAGGGGTGCTTTGCTAGATGTTGTAAGGGGTGCTTTATTAGTCTGGTGAGCAAGATGAGCATCCTAAATACCTGCAAAATCCTGTTTCCTTGGAATTTTTAAGAAGAGGTTGGAAGTGCTTCCCTAGGGGCAGAATTAACAGGAAAGTTTGGGTCCCCGTCACGTATTTCTCAGAGCACTTTATATGGTGGAGAGGGAAGAAGGCCCTGCGATTCTGTATGGCAGAGGCTTTCAACAACTAGGACACCCGGTGAAGTGTTCCAGGTAAGAGGCTGTTCTGATGACGGTGTTTCAAGAAAACCCTTTTTAAATTTAAAGCATTTTTAATGGGGTATTTGCAGTTCAGTCGTGGCTTTGGAACAAGTTAAGACTTGCTTTAAAACAGAAATGATTTAGTTTCTTGCTTCAATAAAAAGAGACTTTAGCCAATGACTAAGTATTTACTTGATAAGCTCATTCTAAAATTAATTACCACAGAACAGCACAGTGTCTGCTGGAGGTAAAGCCGACTGGCTCATTAATAGGCTGGTATGTGAGAATTTTTGTTTTTAAAGCTAAGTATGTTATGTAAGTGTAGTTTTGGATTTGCTTCTCTTTTCTTAATATTAGGCTGTTAAAGGACTTCTCTCTGAGTTATTTGTCTTGTTGTGGGATTAGTTTTAGTAAATTTATGCCTAAAAAGTCTGCAGTAATTTGAAAATCAAGCTCATTTTTATTATGTAACCATTTTTCTCAGAAGCCTCACCACTGGTCTGGGATTAGTGTGCAATTGATCATTTGAGTGATAGTATGTGTCAGCTGGATGTGACACTTCCGATTGTCAGGTAGAAGTGACAGCAGTGACACATGCTGATTGGAGTGAAAATACACTGGCAGGAGTATTTCGGTGTAAAAATGAGTTTGTTTCCCTGGAACA